AGACAGGATCTGGCCTCTCAGTGTCCTTCCCTGAGTGGCGCCCTTGGCTCCATACTGGGTGGTAGCATTGAGAGTTTGCTTGATAGTCTCATCGGTAACTCCTGGGAAGAACCTCCTGATTTTGGCGGTGCTCTGAGTCTTGATCTTCTGGGACTTGGGTGGGAACTCAAAACCGGTGTGGTGCTTGGCACTGTTGTTCGAAGCGCGAAGTGGTTCGTGGCGCCAAAGGTCTGATACATTCTCAACCTTTTGCTTAGCTTGTGTTGAAGTTGGTCCTGAACAATCCTCCGCAGCACCTGATGACAAAGGGGCTGCCAAGGGGTGGGAGGGGGGTAGCGCGGGCGTCGGCGTTGGGCCCGGTTTTGTACATGGCATTGCCATGTCGTATCAGGATCAGAAGCATAACCGTCACTGTCATCCGAGGAGTCCGAGTCATAACCGTGGGATGCTCGTTCAATGAGGGGGGGAAGGTCAATCTCGTCGGAAATGATGTGTGCCATGGATTCCATAATGCCACGACGAACAATGGACTGGTTCTGGCAGTCAGAGTGTATGCACAAGTAGTCGTGCAGTCTAACATTCATCGAAGGTCGCCTAAAGAGGGGGATCCGCACTACGTCATCGTAGAGGGTTTTGTCCTGTTGAAGGAACCAGTCATCCTCAGGGACAGAGTCAAGACGGGAGGGATCCCAGGCATGAGGGATGGTGAGGTCCACATGGGGAATACTACTGTCACTGAGCTCCTGGTAAGTAGGTGGCCGTAGTTGGACATAGGGTAGCCAAGACTTGATGGCCATGGGCACACTGAAACCATTGGGGGTCACAAAGTAAGGGTCGAGCCCGGTGACAGTCAGGGCCGTGTCATGGACACGGCACCTGAATGCTCCAACTAACCTGGGGAGAGAATGGTTTTCCCATGGGACATGGCAGCACGCTGGTGTATCAGACCAATGATGGGTACCATGGTCTGTAGGATGTAACAGCTGCCGTGGCAAGCTGGACGTTCTGAACTGTATGGTCATCAATGCCACTGAGATCATTATAGTCAGGTATAGGACCCTGACATCTTGCCAAGGATGCAGCCATTGGCTTCTCGGTCCATGAGGGCTCGCCACATGAGCGTGGACCAGGAATGTTTGGAAACAGTGTAGATCACAGAACACGGGTGTGCTGGAATGCCCTGGAGACGACCGTCCAGCACAGTAACTGGTCGTTCCTTGCCAATGCCGCAGAAGGTAGCCCTCCGAAGATAGGTGGATGCTACGCACGCCGCGCTGAGCGATGGGTGGTGCCTGGTTTCCTGGGGCTGGACCTGTTCAGCACATAAACAGATCACCCCTTCAAAAATCCGGCTCGGGCTCGGTTCAGGCCGACGTACAGGATCTGATAGAGGACCAGTAGGCCTGTAACTTGGTGTCAATATAATGTCATCACCCGTGGCCTTGGCAAAGGCAGATGGTGGGGCAGAACCAGTATCAGGGTGAACGAGACGGTGTAACCCTGCCGTTTGCCTGTGTTGTTGACATATTCGACGGACATCCCCAGGGTTTTGTCATTTGCCTTTGCCTGGGTGCCAAATGTGATGGGGAAGCCGCAGGTTTGCCAACGGAAGGTGTTGTATCTGCCTGATTTACATCCAATGATGGTCCTGGTGTGTCCCCGACTGCAAGGTCAGCTTCACTGTGGGGGTCCATCGTGCTGTTGGCAACATTGGCTTGGCGACCGGCGGGTGCTGGCGGCTGGGATGCCATCAGTACCTTCTTGTCGTGATCATCAAATTGGTGCCAATTCTTCTTGCCCGTATTAAAAAGTTGGGTCCAATGTTGGTCGGGGAGCCGGACAGAGGGGTCCCTCATGGCCGCAAATGCTTGGAGATGAGTGTGGTCATCCGTTGGACTATCCATGCCATCAGGTTGTCCGACTTCACCCTCAGACTCATCGATCATAGCCATGTTGGCTCTGCGGGATCTACCAGGGGGTAGAAGCTTGTGGTTGACATCAAACCTGGTAGCAGCGTTGGTCAGGACCTCCTTGTATTTCTCATATGAGTAGGACATGTGGGCACCGTTACTGCACATGTTCTCCTGTTCCCTGGCGCTGATGTCATTGAGAACCTTGATGTCGATGAACGCCTGCTGTAGGAACAGTTTTTGGATACTATCACTGAGTTTATCCTGCGCGTTGGTCTTGGAGTCATTGTATCGTGTGAGAACTTCATCATGGTGGATGATGAACTCCACTGCAGAACCCTTGGTTGTGGAGTATTTGACCCTGGTGAGCCAGTTGAGGGTCTCCACAGACTCCAGTGTACCTTCTACAGAGGTGTGGGCATCCTGGATCAATGCATGTAGAATATGAAAGCAGTCACAATCATGAAAATGTTCCTTGACTATCACCTTGCCCTTGGTTGTCTTGATGATTTTCTGCAGGACTGCATAGAACCATTCGTTCATCCTACGGAGCTCAAAAGCGGACTCCTGGTCCGATGAAATACGATCGGAATATTGTGAGATTAGACTTAAAACTAGCGTTAGTACGCCACGTCACACACGTGCGTATGTCACTCTCCTCCACTGTGAGGCAACAATAGGCGCCAAGCATTAGTAACATTTAGAAAATGAATCAGGGGAACCTCAATAACCCGTACCGGTGGCAACCGGAGGTACTGGATGCTTTGGAAACACGCGCCGAATGTTCAGTCGCTCGAACTGATGAGGACTGAGCTGAATCGTCACGTTGCCATTGGTATGAACGCGGAAACACCGTAGGGACCAGAAGCCGTAGGCTTCAACTTATCACTGAGACCGAGATACGCACGCTTGTAGACCAGGTCATCGACCGCGTAGTCATAGGAAATGCGTTTAGCATTGGCCCGCAGCAAACGTTTGTCAACCAAGGATTGACGATGTCGTTGCACGGCCAGGATGTATGCATAAATAGGAATATCAAGAAACATATCTCGTTTGAAGGCAAGAGCACCAGGAGTGAGATACGCGTTCGTACTCTGCACGGAACAACGATGAGCATGCATCGCTGTCGCCAAGGTTTCGGAAATGACCTTGATTCCATCAGCAACACTCTTGGGATCGCGCGAGACCACAATACTTGACCAATTGCCTGATGAGTCCGTTCAATCATCGAGTTACCTTGTGGATTACGAGGGGACGAGTAACGATGCACTGCACCATTCTTTTTCACCATCGCAATGAATTCCAGTTTGAACTCCGGACCGTTGTCCGTAACCACTTTCTTGGGTCGAGGATACCGAGCAAACCACGTATCTTCGACCACTCGGGCACCTTCTTCCGACGTGCGTCGCATGATAGGCACAATCTCTATCAAGTTTGTGCAAGATCCACCATAGTCATAGCGTTGAAAGTCAACGTCGTTGTCGTAACTCAATCTTCCACGGACCGATTGTGTCACAATGGACTTCTTGCCAGGCATCGCCATAGCATCAGTGGAGCAGATTCTCCATAAGCACGCGTGCTCGTTGTTCTTGCACATGCTTCGCACTGCTCAATTTGTTTTCGGACTTCGTCGCGAATACCTCTATGATAGAAATGTGTCTTGATCGTTTGTTCTAAACGATCCATGCCTTCGACATGTGCCATGGACTTGTGATAGAAGCTGACCAACTTGGGAAGCAACTCTTTTGTCAGGACAATCTTGTCTCGTCGATTTGCGAAGCATTCCAGTTCTGTTTCCAAACATCTTCTTAAAAAACCGTTCCGGGTTATCAACAACGGCCTGTTGCAAATCTGCACATAGCTGCTTGGTATCCGCGAGAACCGAGAATTGAAGGGATTCCGTCCTTCACCGTCGAATGTAGGATGCTCCAGGAAAGATTCTTCCATACCGTCGTCGGATGATGCATCAAACATTCGGCCAACCGTCGATTCTCCTCCACAATGGAATAACATCCGTCAACAGATGTGGATAGGGGATCGGAATCGGCACGGTCATGATCTTCGCGAGAAGTGGGCACCCGGCTGAGGGCGTCACCAAGGACGTTCTGGGGGCCCGGTTTGTAATGAAAGATTGGGCCAAACACTTCCAACAGCAATAGCCATCTCATAACACGTTGAGTTTGAAAAGCGGAAAGTTTGTGAGTAAGGTTCTTATGATCAGTAAACACATTGATACGAGCTGAATCTCATGGATGGTGTCA